AAACGTTCATGGATAATGGTATTTAAATGATTTTCCCCTTTGTTCCTTTAGTTTTACTCTTACTTATTGAATTAAGGAAGTACTATCACCTTCAATTTTCCTCAATCAACCTCGACCTTGTGATATGTGAAAAACGTAACCTTTAACAAAGATGTCATGCCTAGTCAAGTGAATATGGTCTCTTACAAAATTTGTTCAAAATGGTTTTGTCCTCTTATTGTAGAATAAGGAAAACTTCAATCTCCAAATGTTTAAAAGTAAAATTGAGTTCCCACTTGTTTCTCGCGTTATTGCAGCAGTTTCTTAAGAGGGGCTATGCATGTGAACATAACTTGGTTAAGTCGCCAGCGAGCGATTTTAAAATTACACCATATTTATTTTCAAATAAAAGAGTTGACAGCTACTTTGTGCTTTCATTTTTAGCCGAACGAACTACTACAATATGATTTAAAAAAGTTCGAATTTATTCTCGAAGATAAATAAAATTAATGGTACTTTGGCTGAAATGAGAGGTACTTTGATATATGATTCTCCTCAAAATGATTTAATACGGCAGTTGGTAAAATTAATCTGATACAAAATCTATGTCAGTGGTTTAATTTATCAAGAAGGAAAGTGAAAACAACATTATTCGGACACTCAGTACCTCTTATAACATCTTAAGGTAGCATTTTTCTTCCCGACGGGGTAAATGAAAAAGGGTAGAGCGCAATCTTCTATACAATATTAACATGTCCTTCCTGCACGGCCCAAAAGGTATGCCAAGGCAGTCTGGTTTGTAATATATTACTACGGACTGAGAAAACATCGTCCAAAACAATACGCTTACTAGAATATCAAGCCTGGTACAAGGAAGGATGATGAGGTACGCTTTTATCGCGATTAAAAAGTAGGCTGTGCGCCCATTCCGCCGCGTTTTGTCCTCGCCTCACGGGAATAAATATAAATATTGAATGAAATTTTTAAAAAAAGTTCTCACAAGTATCTTTTCTGTCTGGAAGGCTACTTATTTCACAACTCAATTATACGTGGAAAAGTATTTCCTCGCTTTTTCTCTTTCACTAAAAATCTATTAAAATATAATTGAAAGAATCTATTCAAAAGCTTTCAATACCATTTAAAACCATTAGGAGAAAATATTGCTAAGACTACCTCTCGGGTGACACCACTCATTAAATTTTTTCGTTTGCAAGGGATAATTTTTTCCACATCAGAAGCCGATTGCTAATCAATTTTTGCCCGGTCCCTGTTTGCGGTCAGATCATGTTTTGCCATCATGATTAATGCCATTATTAGTGAAAGTCAGGTTCAACGTCTTGCGTGAGTTCATCCACACGCAAACAACCATAACACGTTCAACCAAACCATTACCTTCTAGTTTAGTTTATATTACCATTCTTATAAAGCTAAATTTATTTGTGAAACTAGTAAAGCAAAAATTAAAATCGACAAAGTTTTATTCTGATTATTATTTATATATTATGTATTTTTATAGGTTTTTTAAAAGCAGATAAATGATCAATGGGGTGTTTGGACATGCTAGCCATTCAAAACAATGAATTAAATCCCGTGCCAAATAATCAGAAACGACTTGCATTGTCATTTACAAAAATAAACCCGCCGGTAATGAAAAAATTAACATAAATTTAATATAACGCTCAGTTATAAGGGAACCATCCAAGAAGATCAAGTCACCTTCCATTGAAATTCCTGCCTAACTACTACCACTTCCATAGTGAAAATGTATTTCGCTCCTTGTTCTTCTTCAAACACCCTCGGACGTCAGAAAACCTCAGACAAAACCTGGAATCGTCCAAAAACAGTTTTACTCAAATCGTACCCAAACCGATCGAAACTTAACCGAGATCTTCTGTCTTGTCTGATGTTCTGAACCAGTGGCTGAAATTCAGTTTCAAAAAAATCTTCGCCTTACAGTGCATAAATCGAACGTTTCTGATATGTTGAGGTCGTTGCCTGACTTTAATGTATGAAGAATGAAGATAAAACCACCCACATATACGATAGTGATCTACACCCTGGCCTACTGACCCTCCTGTTTCTTGACGATAGAAGACCTTTATAGATGTCATGGGAATGTTATATTCCCTGGCAACATGCTTCTTCCTGCGTCACTAAAAATTTCCGTTGTACAAATCGGTGGCTTAAGACAAGGTAAAGCATAAACTTACGTAAGATTAGAAAAAAGTTTAGCACCGAAACAGACCAAAAATCGATTATTTGAAGATTTCTACGTATGCCTTTTTTATTTCTAAAGCATATATACATATATACATNGATGGAGAGAGAGAGGGGAGAAGGAGAAAGAGGGGGAACGTGAAAGAGAGAGAGAAAGAGAGGGAGAAAGAGATGGAGAAAGGGGGATCGTGAAAGAGAGGGAGAAAGAGAGGGAGAAAGAGAGGGAGAGAAAGATGGAGAAAGAAGGGGATCGTGAAAGAGAGAGAGAAAGAGAGGGAGAGAGAGAGTGAGAGAGAGAGAGAGAGTGAGAGAGAGAGAGGGAGAGAAGGAGAGGGAGGGAGGGAGAGAGGGAGAGGGAGAGGGAGAGAGAGTAAGAGAGAGAGGGAGAGAAGGAGAGGGAGGGAGAGAGGGGGAGGGAGAGGGAGAGAGCGATGGAGAGAGAGGGGAGAAGGAGAGAGAGGGGTGAAGGAGAAAGAGGGGGAACGTGAAAAAGAGAGAGAAATAGAGTGAGAGAGATGGAGAAAGAGGGGGATCGTGAAAGAGAGAGAGAAAGAGAGGGCGAGAGAGTGAGAGAGAGAGAGAGAAAGAGAGAGAGAGAGAGACTGACAGACAGAGAGAGAATGAGTGAGAGGAAGAGAAGGAGATAGGGAAATAGATAGATAGAGATTTCAGTAATTATGACAAATTTTTTTTTAACTTTGTCAGACAATGTTCCTTCTAGTTTTAAGGAATCTATAATTTTCCCCCTATTTAAAAAGGGATCGGCATATGAGGCCAGAAACTACCGTGGATTATCCTTTTTGAACTGTATAGGCAAACTGTTCTGTGGACTTCTATTAAACAGATTGGAGTCGTTCGTCGAATCGAATAAAATCCTCAAAGAGTGCCAGGCTGGCTTTAGAAAGGGATATTCGACGGTCGATTGCATATTTGTTTTGGTTAATATCATCAAAATGCGATTACACAGAAAAGGAAGAAAACTCTACGCGCTTTTTGTTGATTTAAAAGCTGCTTTTGATACGGTAGATGGGGATGCGTTGTTTCTAAAACTGTTTAATATAGGTATATCTTCTCGTTTCATAGCGATCATACGAAACTTGTATTCTGAATCAACGTCGCCAGTGTGGACACCGTTTGGAAGAACAGAAGCCTTTAAAGTTGGGAGTGGTGTAAGGCAAGGCTGTCTATTAAGCCCTCTCCTATTTGCGTTATTTTTGAACGATTTTGAGGATACATTGGTGACGGGAGTGTCAGTGGGAGGCAAAGACATAAAAGCACTTATGTACGCTGACGACATCGTAATTCTTGCTGACAATCCACGTGGCTTACAAAAGAATATTACCAAACTAGAGGAATACATACTGTGATACGTGGAATCTTAGGGTAAATCTGGAAAAGTCGAAGATAGTTGTTTTCCGCAGGGGAGGTAGGCTTGGCTCTAAAGAGCGTTGGAAATACAAAGGTCAGGATATAGAAGTGGTAAATCGTTATACATACCTAGGAGTACAACTGACTTCTCACTTTCTTGGAAACCCCACTTCTCGGAGAAATCGAGTTCGGCCAAGTTTGCCCTTAATTCTGTTTGGAGAGGTGCAATGATGCAGCTCCAGATCCCGCTAAAGGCTAAGCTGCATATCTTTAACGCGGTCTCACGCTCAATTCAGTGCTATGCTGCACAAGTATGGGGATCAGAGGAATTCGTGGAGGTGGAGAGGGTGCTATGGTTCTTCATACGAAAACTGTTCAGTCTCCCAAACTACACTCCAGTTTACATACTGCACATTGAAACCGGCCTTCACCCAGTCTTTCTATTCACGTTGACTTTGAATGGTCGTTATTTGGTTAAGGTGCTCCGAATGGACCACTCCAGATTCCCCCGTACGGTGGCTGAAGAGATCATCAGGCTGGGGATATCTTGGGCTGCTGACTGGGGTAGACTGGCGGACAGGGTGGGAGTGGGTTTGTCCTTTTCGCAACCCGAGAGTAAGGCTCTCTCTCTTCAACTCCAGTCAATTACGATATTAGTCGGCTGAAAGATAGTTTTATGGTGAGCAACATAGAGAGAGTGCAGGCTTCCCGTCGATACCGTATATATAGGATGCTGGATCACGGAGTCAGATGTGCCAGCTTGGTTGGGGACCAAAAGACAAATAAGAAAATTACAGACATACGTTGGATCCTGAAACTGAGGGGAGAATTGCTGAACCTACGACATAAGCCGTATGATCTCCTCACCCAACAGGAGTGTGAGTTATGTAATTACCGGGTGAAGGAAGACATATACCACTTTGTCGCGGAATGCCCCATTCTGTCCCCCTACCGTTTATCTGCGTTCGGCGAAAGAACCGTATCAATGGACAGATGCATCAGATTGCTCAACGGACCAGATTGGACAGACTTGGTGAATTATGCTAAAGCGGCCTGGGCCTATCGAAGGCTAATAGTAAACGAATTTAATTAGTAATTCTTCTCTCTTCTTCTCTTTTACTCCCAATTTCTTTGCCCCCGCTCTTTCCCTTGATATTTGCTGTTTCTGTTTCTCCGGTCTCAGCTCCGCTCATTGATTTTTAATTCTCAGTTTTGTGTACTTTTGATTTGGTATTTTGTTATAGATGTTACACTTAGCATAGACTTAGTTTACTGCATTTGTACGTTTATTTTATAGGATTAGTCACCGGCAGACGGTTACCTTGCCGTATTAAGTTTATTTTCTTGTTTGAATTATATGTAATTTTTCTTTTTTCTTCTTGTGTGCAATAAACTTATTATTATTATTATTATTATGACAAAAAATTATTTTTTACCTTTGTCAGACAAGAGCCAAGTAGGTCTCAGCTAACTCTTCAGCATTTTAAAGTCGATTCCTCTTGCGAACCTGTAAAATACAAAAATTTATTGAAAACAAAATGCATCTAAAAATATTTAAAAAACTGTTTTAAGATAGTCGAATACATCGGTTGTACTCCATCGTAACAAATATTCCAATAATATTCCCTGAATGAAACGACCGGTCTGATTATATTTAAATTGATGTCAATGAGCCATGTTTACCTCAATGAATGGGGGAGATCAGCCAATTCTCTCGATGGAATAGATATTTCTCACAGGAGGATTTTCTTTTAAAGAGATTTTAAAGTTAAATTTAAAAGCCATCGCCCTTGATCGTTTTTTATTTCATTTTTGTAGAATTTTCAATTTTCCCTTCGTTTATAATATGAATAAAATTGATTCATATGGTATAAGGTTGAAAAGTTGTATCAAGCATGTCAATAAATATCAATTACATCCATTAGAAAAGATTTGTTTAAAAAAAAAGTTTCTATTAACAATTCATTGCAATTGTACATTCGGTACGTTCTATTTAATAAATTAAAATTATAGTTAGACGGAAAAATAGTCAAAATGATCTAGTTTAACAAGTTGATTCCTGTTATAAAAGGAGATGAAATGTATGTTTCCCGATCAGAATCTAAATTCAAGAGACTACAATTCTCTTTTATTGAGGATCGTGCCGACAGTGTTGTTATAAATGGCATTTCTTATGGCTTGTTTACATCACAAAAGCGACGTTCAAACTGGGTTTTGTACTGTTATATATAAAGCAAAAAATTGTTAAATTCTATTTCCTGACTTTACAGATATATTATTGTAGATTTATCAAGTTAAATAGTTTGTAATGAAAACGAACTATAAGATTTCATATGGCGAGAGTGGCTTGAACGATAGTCTTCAAGAGAGGGTAGCTAGTCGGGTAGATTCTGTATTGCAATAAGGTGATATAATAACATTTCGGGTAGCATAATAACATTAACCTTCTGGGAAGGTTAACTGAAGACGATTGGTTTATCTACAAACTTTCTATTTGCGAAATTTACATGAACGGATTTCTAGTAATTTATTTTGACCTTACAAGTATCTGTCCATTCATGAATGCTTGTGTTATTGGTTTGTTTTCGGTTATAATTTCCTACCGTGGTAGGACACTTGTGTACAGCAAGTACAGCACGGGGCCTAGGATGCTACCTTGCCGTACTCCAGGCTTGATTTCAAACAACTCAGCGTCTTCGCCTTGCAGTTTAACTCAGAACAAGTGTTTCCGAAAGAAAGGAGGTCAAAAGTTCAACATATTAACTTTAACTCTTAATAACGGTTAATTTTAATCTATATATGATTTTTCCTGTATAATTAATTCAGGTGTAAGAATTTTGTTACTTTTGTCACTAAAACTTGTCCTTTTATTTATTTAAAGAGTCGATGGCTTTTCCCTTCGTGAATGTAATCTCTGATTTATTTTGTCGTTACAAAATAATCTTAAATCTTCGAATCCCGCTCGTGATACTAAATTTTTCATCACAATCAAGACCTTAGGTAAAGAGAATAATTAATGAAAATAATCTTAAACTTTTTGAACTTCGCCGCAGGATTTTTTACCATCGAAGTTTTGCAACATGTTTTTCACTGTTAGAAATTGAAATAAATAAATTTAGACGGATAAAGCTTAGAAAAAAAAATCTAATAGCAATTGCTGAAGTATTTAATTTGAAGTTTGAAATTTATCGAATCTCGTTCAGGCAAACGCAAACGTTCCCGGGCGGGTAACGGATTCATTTTACATGTTCAAGAAAGGTTATTTTTGCTTTGACTTCTTTGTCGTGATTCAAAGTTATAAAGTGTCTTCTGTTTTCCATTGGACTTGGCCCTTGCTTTGGGTCCGTCACGTAACGTCTCTTCATTACGCGGCCGCCTCTTCCGTGACTAATTGGTCCTAATGTCACAAATTTAACGGGCCGCTGGCCAGTTGAATCTGGAAGAAACCAGAAAAAGAAGTGGCGCAATTGAGACACAACACCGATTGCGACATTGCGATTTTTTCAATATTACTTTTAAACGCAGGCTGGTTGAAAACAGGGAATTCAGTCTCAGTTAAAACATATCATCATGAAAACCAATCAACTGAAACAATAAAAGACCAAGTATAGGATTTTCTAGGCCAATATTATTGTTCGATCTAGAAAGTTTTAACTCGAAATTTGTTTGAACGATCAACTTAACTCTCGGATTTTTTAAATATTTAAATACAATGATTCTTATTACGGACAGACATCATGCCGGAACTCATCTGACCAAAAGGTTATGCGGACCTAATCAATTAAGATCTAATAGTCAACAATTTATCCACTCAATGCTACATTCACAGCTTAAAGTCTAATTTTATCCCGTTGACAGACCAAGTTTCGAGTTTGTTTCACAAAACAAGACACATCCATCATAAAATATTATACATAATTTTTTTTAGGATTTACATAAATATGTTTTCAAATGTTAACGTATCGGGAATGATTCTTAATATCAAGTCATGCCTTTACATCATTAACCAAATTCACCGTGAATTTTTTATAATATTTAAATATAAAAATCTTATCAACCAACTGTAAACTGTGTTAAAACCAGCGGAAATGTTTGCAATACTTAACTTAAATTCACGTTCTTCTTACAACATTGAAAACTTGGCAAAGCCCTTTTTTATCCACCCTTAAACTACTTTAAACTTTTAATAAATGCAATAATAATTTTTTAACACTTTATAAAGTTTTTTCTGATCCAATGCAAAAAGTTCGATTGTAGTATTATTTATACAATTTATACAAACGGTTTTCTTAAAATTTTGTTTTGAAATTATCCCAGTTTTCTCCGTATTTCTTCTGGGGACTTGTTCGAATCTTCAACTTTTCATAACTTGTCGATGAACTTGTCCTAAGGCAAATTGAAATCAACCGCAAGATAGCGTTATGTGGAAAAAAATTGGACGTACTCGCCACAAATTAAGGCTTGGCCCAGTGCAATTTTGTGTATCTATCATTTCAAGCAACAGCAGCCCTAGGAATGCTTTGGCCTGGAGGACAAAACAATTAAAAAGGAGAGGATATGAAAAGACCCAAGTACGATGGGAAATAACTGACTACAAAATAACTACGAATTTAAGAATTACTTATTTTCACATTAAAATTCGCGCTTCGCACTCGCCTATATTCCCAACTTCACGAAAAAACAATGAAGCATGGATATGCAACCTAACAAGTCCCTAACCCAACCCTACCAAACCTAATCTAACCCACCCTAACTCTAACCTTATCTAACCTAAAGCGTGAGATTTCATCTTGTGGCCTGCGGGGTGATGAAACTGTTAAGTTACGACCGTTTAAACGAGCGAGGATAGGCAGGATCTATAAGGATCAAATTATACATACCTAACCCGTCTTAATCTTAACCAGTCCCTAACTTCACCTAACCCTACCTAACCTAACCCTAACGCTAACCTAACCTTACCTTACCAACCATTACGTTATCCCACTTAACCTAGTCATTGCAGTGATGGGAAATTGGTGACATGAAAAAACGAGCACAAGACAAGAAGTGTGTATCCACTTGCATATCCTCGTTGTGTCTGTCAGACGTGTTTCTGCATTTCGCCATCTTCAGTGTTATTTCGGAGAGGTATAATTTTTTTACGGAGTTATTTTTGTTTGTCGGTGATTTTGATAGATCATACTCTTTTTAATTGGTATATTGTTTGGAATTGAAATGATGTGTGTGAATTAATTTGTTGGTAAGCTAATTTGCTTGTTTATGAGTTTTAGATGTGTTATGTTTGTGTATTTCTATCTTTTTAAGTATGTTCATTGTTGGTCATTTTTGTACTATGTAGTAGTTTCTTGTTTGCCTGAGTTTTCTGTAAAACTCTCCTCAAAAAACCACTGTCCATAGCACAACGCTCCCAAACCAATGTTTACACTACAGAACCTAATTACTCAGTGCTTTAATGAATTATACGGGGTGTATCATGGTTCGTCCTTATATTTATGAGGTGAATAGGCTATTATTTTCATCCAGACCCACCTGCAACTTCTTTTTATTCTGTAGAATTTAAAGACATGCTATGACTACCTAGACTGGAAAACTGTCAGTTTTCCTATAGTGGAGTAATGACTGGATGCTGAAGTTGGTCTTAGACATAAAATTATTTTTAAAAAAGATTCTTTAAAAAGTCCATATCGTAGAGAAAAGGACAGAGGTGATTTTCGGTCAAATATGTAAGACTAATTCAAGATTACTTTTAGAATAAAAGTGATCTGCTTACCGTGGTTCAGCATAATTAGTCATTTGCTACCATTCTGATTTGTATACTTTTTGGACTCCCGATTTCATAGAAACGTCCTATTTATAATATCTATACGTCGTATATCCGACATTATTATTATTTCTCGTAAATAAAAAAATGACGTGAATGAGCAATTTTTTAATTACAAAGTTTTATACAAAAAATCGTGACTAGGCTTACACGTTTCGGAAAAGATAGCTCTTCTCACAAAGGTTTAAGGCAGCTATCCGGGTTTCGAGCAATAAATACGCATCATCATGAAAATACAAACACGTCTCTCGATGTGAATTGTAGGAATGTTCTAGTGTAGTTATTTGTATCTTCTGCGTGATGATGAGTAATTAACACTTGCACTTCTGTAAGTAGAAATATCTTTTTTAAAAAGTAAATTGCCATGGTCACTCTCAAAACCATTCCTAGACTTACACATTTCCAGTTCCTGGCCATAATTTACTTTTTTCTACAGAACATGGTACAGGCTCGCCAACACAACTTCAGAAGTTTACTACACATAATAATTATATTATTTTTTAAAATTAATTCAAAAATTAGTCAATTGTCGTTTTGTTTTCTTAGGTGGCTAGAATTCGGATGTTTATAAACACTTTCCGACCTGGTAGGACAAAATAGACGGCAAACAAACCCGGGTCCTATTTTAGGGGAACTGACGACAATAGGATACCTCTTTCATTCGGCACACTGGAAAATCGGCCGCT